TGTGTGTGAACGCTCAGACACGCGTGTATCCTTTGCATATGCGTTCGTAAATATACTAGTGAACGGATATGTGATTATTTTTCTTCTTGCTTTATTACTACCCTAGTTAATTCAAACTCTGTTCTTTCATAATGACCGTCTCCTTTTCACGAAAAAAAAATAATTGAAAAGGGATCTTGAATAATTATAATATTTTATAAATTAGCAAAACTAAGGACATCAACGTTATAAATGGCTTTACCTAAATCCAAGTATTTAAAATCGAAACCGCTGTAACTCTGAAGTGTCTGTTTTTAGTAGTTTTAGTAGAGGTTTAACGGCGTTCGAAACTGCATAAGGTTACATGAGCACCAGAAGATCAGAGTTGTTACGAGAGAGTAACAATCATAAAAAAGAAGAAGGGGAGATGCGGACGATAGATGTTTGATAGAAAAGAAGAGGTAAACCACACCAAAGCACCCGCCAACCACCCACTCGGCTCCGAAATGTTAGCGAAACAACACGAGGACAGGACTCCGACTATAACGTGTTGTATTGAAGACCTGCTATACCAAGATAAGGTGCGGCACGGACATTTTTTTAAAAGGGAATCGAACACGTTGTATGGTAGTCTACAATGCTGTGGTCCTCCCATTCCTGTTGCATGGTGCCAAGACGTGGACGGAGTATTAAAGCCATGCCAAGAATAAGCTTATTCTTTTCCGTATGAAATGCCTCAGGAGAATTTTTGGCATCAAATAGCCGGATAAAATACCAGACACCAAAGACACCAAAGTTCACAAATGGGCAAATGCCGGGAGTCTGTTTTCAAAGCTTAAAAGGACTCAACTTCGATGGGCTGGCCACGTCGCAAGTATGTCTGATTTCAGAATCCCAAAGGCTGCGCTCTATTCTGAACTGTCCTCGAGGAAGCGTAAGGTTGGCGCTCCGGAAAAAGCGCTATAAGGACACCCTGAAAATATCTCTAAAGGAGTTCAGCATAAATCCTTTGACATGGGAGAGCCATGTTCCTGACAGACCCAGCTGGAGAGCAGCAGTCACAGTGGGCAGCAAATCATATGAGGCTTCACGCAGAAGAAATGCTGAAACCAAGAGACATGTCCACAAGCTGCGCACATCCACAAGTGGAAGTGGAGCCTTTAAATGTTCAAAATGTGGCAATCTCTTCTTTGCTAGAATTGATCTCATTGGCCACAAGTCACCGTAACCTTTAATTCTTCAAATCATTCCACTTTGTTGAAGAAATCATACATTTTCTTGGATCTGGTCATCGTCCAACATTGTTGTTATTATTATTATTATTATTATTATTATTATTATTATTATTATTATTATTATTATTATTATTATTATTATTATTATTATTATTAAAATTATCATTACGGTGTAGAATGAGAATACCAGGGGCGGCTCGTGGGGATAAAAAGTGGACTTGCACAATTAAGCTATCAACATATGCTGAAGCTAGTCAAGGGCATAATAAATGAGACGGTGTATAATTTAAGGATCTTTGGGTTGGTGAGGGAGGACCTCGTGCTTTTATTTTCATTTGTTTTACTTGTCGCTTTGATTTCTAGTACTAAATTTGTTTGTTAGCCAAACATCAATTTCGTTCATCCTTTGTCGGAACTGAACACTCAATTAATAACTTTCACTACTCCACTACAAAACCATTCAAAAGCACAACTCATAGGACGGTCACGTTCGCCTCCCTCAGGTTCATGGTCACAGAGTCGCTTAAAATAGTGGCAAGACAGACAATGAACCAATCACAATTCACTTGAGCACTCCGCTGGATTGCTCCGGGGCTCACATAATGTTGTCAAAGAATAGCGTACGGTCTATCGCGTTTATTTTTAGACTGCCTACTGTCGGCTTTGTTTCGGCACTCTTCGGCAGGAGTACATTTGAGATGTGCCGGCTTATTAATATTAATGTACCGCCAAACTCGCTAGGAGTGTCGTCATCGCTTGGGTTATCCCCAACAGCGGTTTATAGGTCAGGTTACACTATTGACTATCCTATTATGTTTAGCTAAAGCGCGTGGACTTTGGTATGGCATAGTAGATGTTTTACAGTGCAATAGACACAGAAATGAGTTATGGTGCTCTGAGGACCTTGTTTTGATATAATATTTGGCTAGTGTTTGTTTCTGGCTTCTTTTATTTTATTATTGTGGGTGTTTTACGTAATCGAACAGTAAAAAAATTTGGGCGGCACTGCACGACCGTGCTCTATGGACGAACCGCGCCTGGAGAATTCACATCGACGAAGTAGGCCGAATTTATATGAGTTACTCGCTGTAGTATCACAAAGTAGTTGCACGAACAACAGTTGTGACAACGTTACAACAATAACAACACCTACACAACCACCATTGCCACCAGCACCAGCACCAATAATAACAACAACAACAACAATAACAATAACA